TGATAATACAAACAGTTAACACTTAACGCAGCGGTAAGGTTTTGCCAGACCCTGTTCTGGGTCCTTTATGGCTGTTAACTGATTAAGACTAATAGCAATCACATTACGGTATGAGCTGACATCATCTAATTTCATGTATGAAGAAACTGAGGCAGCGAGAGGATGAGTGCCTTGCTCAAGGTCACATCAAGGGCAAAGCATGGATCCGGGATTCAAGCCCAGACAATTTGGCTCCAGAGTCAAATTTATTAGCCACTGTCGCTCAAGAAAAAAAAAAGGCACGTTTTTTACATGTTTATTGAAAGTGATCTTAAAGTGGTTTTGCAGGAGAAAACATTATTTTGTTCATGTCAATACATTGTGCTGCATTCTAAAGTTTAACAGGAAATGACACCTCCCAAATACGCATCAGTGTTTGATGAGGTTTCATTTGAAATACAAGCACGTTGACTTGGGAAGATTGGGGGGCACTTTATAGGGAGGGGAATGCAGCTCACAGTCCAGCAAACTGGTATTCATTTGATTTTTTAAATACACCGCATGCTCAACTATGAGTTGTGAGATGTACTACAATATGTGGATGTGAGGCAGGGCCATTGTAGAAGCACTTCCCCCTTCCACCACCACCAGCTTCTTCCCTCTCACAAAGCCCTGGCCTCCCAGGGGCTCCCTCAGATGCCAGCCCTTCGGCAGCCAGGAAAGAGCCTGAAGTCCAAAGTGCTGATTTGCTGGTCTGGGAAGACCCCCACTGGGACTGCAGCTGTCACATGGGAAGGCACGGACGGATCCTAGGGGACTCTGGTGGCTGCAGCCTTGAGGAGGGCAGGCGTCTGGGTGCTGGCCCCGGGAAGGTGGGATAGTGGGAACACAAAGAGGCCCCAGGGAATGTTCTCTGATGTTAATAAAGTCAGGCTCCGACGGGAGGCTCGCTTTGAGACAACAGTCAGGTGTAAATGATTCTCTCCTGTCTCATGGAGCGAAGGGACTTTCCTGTTCACAGGCCGAGCTGGGCAGGCCATGTTTTACCGTCTCCATGCATCAGTCAGAATAGGCTAAGTTATGCTGTAGTAACAAATGCCCAAATCTCAACAGCTCAAACAAACAGGGCTGTGTCTCACACATGCTCAAATGTGTCAAATACGGATGTCCACGGGGTGGACAGGGGAGCTCTGCGGACTCCCCACCTCGGGACCCCACCTTCAGAGAGCGATCACCTTGAGTGTTGCCCGTGGCTGTGCCAGGGGAGGGGAGGGCTGAGGAGGGAGGGCCTCGCACTGGTCATTAAACCCCAGCCTAGAAGTGACATTTGCTATTCCCGCCCCAAACTTATCATCCAGACAACGTCACGCAGACCGCCCAGCACAAGCAGCTGGAGTGGGGATGAAATTCCACCGCACGCTCAGAGCAGGGTGACATGGGGATATTTTGGTTTAGACCAGGTTCATTGATGAGGTTGGATCTCAAGCACCTGCTCCACTTTCCTGAGCCCAGAGCCGCTGAGGACTGAAACTTGAGCTTCTGAATGGCAGCAGCTTCCTCCCACTGGAGAGTCTCTGCTGGAAGTGGCCTGAGGTTGTGTGGGCCAAGTCCTTGCCGAGTAACTGACCTCGAAAGGCCGAGCTGCGGGAACAGTTGGACAGCTCCAGTTCCTGCCCAGAGACAAAGTGGGGGGCTAATGACACCCCAGGATCCCAGCTCCCATCCTGGCTTCCCCGACTCTGACTTAGGCTGCCAGACCTGACTTTGAGCGGCTTTCAAGAGTCGACAGAGATGCTGGTGGAGTCTACTCGTTAGCCACAGG